TATATATATATATATATTTTTCTTCTAGATTTTCAAATTTATTTAACTGTAGTTTTAATCATTTTTTCTTTTTTATCCATCTACTATTTTTTCCTTGAATTCAATATATTTTAGAATGATGATATCATATAAGTAGATTAAAAGGGGTGTATTTGGTAAAAAAAAAATAATTTTATGTTTTAAGTCACATTATTCAAAAGAATTTGAAACTGGTGAATTAAACTGAATTGGACAAAGCTTATTCGGTTTGGTGATAATGTATTTATTTATAAATCAAAAAGTTGTAAATCGAACTAAATTAATTATAAATCATCGAACCGAACCAAATTAAGTCAAACGAATTGAACCGACTAAATATACAATCTTGTAAGTTGCATTAATCAAGTCATAGATTTGCCTCTGGCCTAATGGCTGAAACTGCTCGTCCCATCTCCTCGTTGTGTCGTTACTATTCATAGTATCTACAACAAGAACATATTACTATATAAATAATGGTTAACTGGGTAAGGCGCGAATGTTATCAAGGTCTAACATTTACATTTTTGAGATATTATAAATATTAAAATAACACGGGCTAGCCAGTTTTCGAACTGGTAATTAAAAAATAGCCAGTGTTTGTAAAATAATTAAAAAATAATCATTATTTTGCTGCAATACGGAAAGTTCCAGCATAATATACTGGAGATTAAAGCACCTGTCTATGAACTTTCAGTATAATATAATTAGTTGGCTAATTATCAAAATGAAGAAGAAAAGAGGATTGGGCTGTGGAGTTGAAAATGAGACTGGGCCGCCGTTTTGGGCCCATTTTTATTAAATTTACCCGCCCACTTGACCACTGACCCAATCCACATCTCAGCCTGCTCCGGTCCTTCAAAACGACGCCGTAGAGGGACTAAACGTTTCCCCTCTTGGTCTAGGGAACGGATGATCTTCCCCTTGACTCAAACCCTAGCCGCCCCTGAATCCCATCTCTCACCTCACTCATCTCTCACTCAACCATTCTGCAATCTGCATCCTCACAATTCACAGACCTCACTCCCACACTCTCCTATCCTCACACACACGGAAAAACTGACAATCAAAATAGCTGAAAATTTCTGGGTTCAAACTTTTGGATTTCAGATCTGGAAAAATACAAAAAAAAAAAAAAAAAAACTTTGAAAAAAAGGCAAAACAGAGTAGAAAAGGA